CTCCTCGGAAGGGAGTCTGCTTCTCCCGCTGACCTCTCTCCTCTCATGCTTTCTCTCTCTCCCTCTCAAATAAATAAAATCTTCAAAAAAGAAAAAAAAAGTCTTGGGGGACAGTGGTGGGAAGGAAACACACTTTTGCCCTAATTTTTACACTTTGGGACTTATTCACGGTGTGCAGCCATTATCTCAACAGTTCACCTCCTTTTCTGGATGGGGACCAGATGAGGGGACTTAAATAGCTGTCACAGTTAGACAGACCTAGAATAAGAACACTCAGATTACCCTGCCATGGCCCTGATCTGCTGGGCTCCTGATAAAGGCTGATGTAGTTCTAAACCCAGTCTGGCTAACCCGAGTACAGACTCACACCCCCTCCTAACTGCAGACTGCCTATCCTGGTTGATTTTCCTGACCCAGTAATTACACACAGCACACATATTTGTAAGGCAATTTAATGGTTTTATTAAATTCAAGACCTTTGAAATGAATGAAGCCAAGGGATATCAAGAAATCACGGGCAGAGGAGAGTCGCTTGTACAGGGACAACAAGGACACTGACAAATACGACACAGTTTACTCGTGGTACAGCAGCCAATCTTACAGTACCTATCACCTATGCCCTTCTATAGAGCAAAATACTAAAGCCTCATAGCAACCTTATTAGATTGGAATAATCAGTAACCGTATTTTGCAGATGAGAAAGGACAGTGTAACTTGGCCAGGGCATACAGCTATCAGCAACATGATAAAATTCTTTTGAGTTTCCTCTCAATCCCATTATAATTACAAATTGCGGAAGAAAACATGAAGTTTAGATTATTTTTCAGTACTCAAATTATTACCCAAGGACATAATTCTAGTTATTTTCTGAACTTCACAGAACAACAAAAAAAAAGTAAAGCAACTAGTACTTCTTCAACAACCACATTCTTCATCCCAATCACTGTATTTTTCAACATCATTTTAAAATTATTTGGGGGGGGAGGCAGGGTAATATAATTAGTATTCTTTTCTGGCGATTTAAAGAAAATCCAGTCCTTCCTCATGGCAGAACCAAACAGGAGCCAGAAAGCAGGGCTCTGAGCCTGGCATCCAGTAATCTAAAACACTCATGCTAGAAGACGGTCTCCAAAAACTGTGGCACACACTTGCCCAAGTGACATGGTCTTGGCTTAGAGAGCTTCCCATGCCTTATTAGGCACTTTCCCCAGCCAGCAGCACCCTGTCCTTCCTCCCTCTTCCCCATCTAGTCAAGCTGCAGCCTGGCCATTCCAGTTTCACAAACCAAGAAAATGGAAGAACAACTTCTCCTTCCCCTGATCTAGAAAAATCCAGAACACTCAACTCAATATACTTCCACTGCAGAACCACTCATAGAGTCTTGGATCCAACTTGTCAAATGCAATTAAAGCACTTACCAAATCCTTGACTGGTTAATACAAACAAACCCTTCATGAATTACATTAATGCTTTCAGAATAAAACTGATTACTGGGGCGCCTGGGTGCCTCAGTCGTTAATCAGCTGCCTTTGGCTCAGGTCAAGATCCCAGGGTCCTGGGATCAAGCCCTGCATCAGGCTCCCTGCTTGGCGGGAAGCCTGCTTCTCCCTCTCCTACTCCCTTTGTGTTCCCCCTCTTGCTGTCACGCTGCCTGTCAAATAAATAAATAAAAATCTTAAAAAAAAAAAAAAAAGAATAAAACTGATTACAGATTGAAAATTGAGAAATGGTATTTATCCAGAAGTTCTGTCAATTGAGAACTGAAGTTTTGCTGCTATTCAGTAGGCTGCACCATTAAATCCATACATTGAATCATCGTAAAAATAAGCTAACCAATGAATATATATGTATATATAATACATTCTAACATCCCTAGAGAGCCTACCTGCCTCAGGGTTGGGCACACACCGCTACTTGGTTAGCCACCACACAAGTGATAGTAACAGGGCATCTAAGCTCCCATGAGCACATACCACATCCCAGGCACATCCCAGGCTTTACACATATCACCTCATTAACACTTTTTCCACGAGAGGAGTCACCCAACAGTATGCCCTTACCATAGGATTCCATGTGCAAAAAGTTCAAAGACAGTTATTTTTACATCTGTGGTGCTGGAAGTTAATAAAGTGGTTTCCTTTGGGGCAAGTGTAACAGGGTAGTGAATGGGAGGGGCACAGGGGCTTCTGGACGCTGTTAATGCTCTCTATTCCTTGACCTTGGGGGCTGCTTACAGCGGTGATCTTCACTCTGTGATAATTCATCAAATTGTACATTTAAAATGTGCATGTTGTTGGTATGTAAATTACATACCAACACATATTACATACCAACATACGAAACCGAAAGCTAAGTGTTTTGTACACTTAGCTGTGTTTGTAAAAGCTAAGTGTTGTAAGAGTTTGTAAAAGCTAAGTGCTGACGGAAGACTAGGAAAAGAGCAAGCACTGTCAGAGACGTCCCAGGTTCTGATCCTGACCTCCCAGTAAATGGCTTATGATTGGGGAGAGTCACTTCTGGGGGCACATCAGCGTCTTCATTCCTTCTGAAGAGGTTAGATTAGATGCTCTCCAATTTTCTCAGTATACCATTACTTTCCTTTCTTTAACAGGTGGGGGAAAGGGAGGCACCACAGGATAAATAAAAACAAAAACTCAAAACCAAGTGTCTCTATAATCATCAGGACATCATCAAAATTGCCAAGAGGGCACCTGGGTGGCTCAGTCAGTTAAGCAGCTGCCTTCAGCTCAGGTTGTGATTCCAGGGTCCTGGGATAGAGGACCCCGTCGGGCTCCTTGCTCAGCAGAGAGCCTACTTCTCCCTCTGCCTGCCCTCCCCTGCTTGTGCTTGCTCTTTCTCTCCACCCCCGTGTCAAATAAATAAATAAAATCTTTAGATAAAATAATAATTAAAACACACACACACGAAAGCCTCTCCAGGTTCAGGAGAACATTCTGTGCTATAGTAGTGCCATGTAGCAATGGCAAGTTCAAAACACCTGAGAGCAGAGGATGGCTGCGGTCACTATGCACCTTCACTAACAAACTCAGTATCATTAGAAACTCATAACCTTGGGATAAACCCCAAGGCCAGGCAGCAAGGTTAGAACAAGGCCTACAATTTTAACATACTCTCATTTACTGAAGTGTTCAGGAAAGGAAGAGGGTCTCTTGGTTAACCAAATTGGTTAACCATATTCCCAAGTATACCAGCAAAGGATTATACACTTCAAAAGAAACAAGTCCCCTTCCGGGTAATTTGAATGATTCAGAATTCCTAAGGGTCTTGTGAGGAGTGATTCACTGCCAGTAGGAACAACTGTTTGATACAGAACAAAAAACTGTTCTCAACCAGTGCAGAATAAAATTTAGAGACTAGTATTAGTTTATCCTACAGACTATGAAACAGCAAGTAGTATTAACCCAGTGAGAAATACTTCCTTCACTGACTATAAAATCGAAAATCCTTATAAACAGATCACCTTTCACGGCTTACAAGTAAAATAAGTTTAAGAGCGTGGTTTAGGGACGCCTGGATGGCTCAGTTGGTTAAGCGTCTGCCTTCGGCTCAGGTCATGATCCCAGAGTCCTGGGATCAAATTTCACATCAGGAATCCCTGCTCAGCCGGGAGCCTGCTTCTCCCTCTGCTTGTGCTCTCTCTCTCTGACAAATAAATAAATAAAATCTTAAAAAAAAAAAAAAAGTGTGGTTTACGGTCAAGACATTCTTGGGAGGTGCTCTAACATCAGAAAAACATTCTTAAATCTATTTCATCTGTAAGTAGCCTTTATCTTTGGTTTTCCATTGATTCCACCATCCACTTTATTACTGTTTATCAAAATCTTAATAGCTGCATGACAGAATGGAAGCTATCCCCTAATTACAGTTAGCCAGAGAAACAGAACATGATGCTGGCCCTAAAGATCAGGTTTATTTACTCTCTGTAAGCTATAACACCTGCGGGAAAAAAAACAAAAAACAAAAAACCCAGCCTTGGAATCCTCTCCCTACAAAAATTAAAATCTGGTCCCACAACTATCAAACGATAGAAGTTTGGTAAGTACTCAACCTCACTCATTTTCCTTTACCATGATGATTTAAAAGAGCTTAAGATGTGAAAGCATGATTTGGGGGCACAGTAACTGAGAAAGGTCAGAGTAACATGGGGAATGCAGAACGGATCCTTCTAATTCCAGGAGGGCAATGAGCCGGTTCCCAAGTGTTGCCTTCACAGCCTGCAACGATTTTAATAACCACCAGTACTATTTCAGGGCCACAAACAAATGTAAGAATACTCCTGTGCACAGACAGCTTCTCATGTGCTTACATTTTCCCCCAAGATAAAGGCCGCTGCTAAAACCGGCCAGCGGCTGCGTGAGACCTTTTAAAGGAGATGAAACGTGAACTGCATTGCCAAAGCACCCACACAAAAGCCCGTAGCATCTTCAAGATAGTAAGATCAAAAGTGAATATATAGGTAAAGATAAACATCAACAGATGACATACTTATGCGCTTCCTGCAACTTCAACATTCTTAAAAACTAGGACAACTGAGGCCAAGGACTAAAATGTGTCCTGCTGGAGAGGGCTCTAGTCCATCTGGATCACGTGCGCCCAGCCCGAGCACAGAACAGGTGCAGGAGGGGTCCCTATACAGGCCCACCCCCCGTAGCTGTGGGGAGGCCCCGGGCGGCACCAACTCGGTCCCTGAAGGACATGCTACTCCAGTTCCGCCCTCCTAGCCCACTCGCCCCGACCCCAGCCCTGAGCGGCCGGCCTGGGGCACTCTAGACAGCCAGGCACCCCCGCCTCTCCCACAGCCCCTCCGCCGCCCAGCAGGTATCGATGCTGCGCATGCGCACTGAGAGCCCCTCGTCAACCTCTACCAGGAGCTGGGCGACGAGGCCCCGGACGGTCCGCTCGGGGTCGGGTGGGCCGCGTTCTGCGCGGAACCCCTTCCCTAGACGTAAGGGCGGTGGGGGGGGGGTCTTAGGGCTTACCCGCGCCCAGAAGGCTGGCCAGGAGAAGGAGAGTGTACATGGCGACGCCCGACTCCGCAGTCTGCAATGCAGAGCGTCAGCTGACCGTCTGCGGCTATAAACCTGCCCCGCCCCGAAGCCGTGCACCGCGCATGCGCAAGCTCCGCCCCGGCCAGGCAGGCCTGAGCTCTCCCCGCAGCCTGACTCAGCGCAGCTCAGGCCGCCTGCGCGACTGGAGGCGGAGCGCTGGGAGGTGGACGGGACGGGGGATGGGAGGAGGACGGGAGGGGGGAAAACTTGTGGTGGAAGGGGGAAGGTCGTCCAAAAAGAAAGCTAGTAATTGAATAGGTCAACATTAGAGATTTTAATATGCATAAATATCTTTTTTTGTATAAATATCTTTGAAGCCTCACATTTTTTTCTATGAGCTACCATTTTCTGTTACAGAAATTATATAGAAATAATATTCTGTTATTATTTCTGTTCCGTTTTTCAGGTGAGAAGCCAAGCTTAGAAAGGTTAACGACTTTGAGTTCTCAAGGACGTTAGTCAAACTCACCACCCCGCCCACATTGTCTCCTATATGAGGTTTATATATTCACCTAGCTAGGGCCGGCATGTAGCTTCACCCTGGGCCCTGCTTTTCCCTGTAAACATTTCATATCCACAATCGCTTCTCCTCATGACCCACAGACAAGGTTTCGGTATTAAATACAGTCCCTCCGGACGTCCTACCAGGGTTTGTCCTGGGGTTGGACAAAGTGAAGGGTAAGATGGGAAAGAGTAAGAAGTGCCTCAGCCATTAGAGAGGTGAAGCCAGAATTTGAGAACCTGGCTGTGCACCAGCCAGAGACCTTGTTGCAGGCAGAAGTGGCCCCACACGGTACAGCCCTCAACCTCATTCCAGAATAAGAAAGGCCCAGGTGGCCCACACAAAACCACTTGCCCTCTGCCTGTGGCTGACCCAATCTGGCTCTGAGCAGAGGTCTGACCTCACTCCTCCCCCTTCCCTAGGGGAGGTACCTCCTAGCCCAATTGGAAGATAGGAGGGAAATCTCAGCCTATAAGGGCAGGTCCTTAAAGGTCAGTTAGTCCCATTCCTTCATTATACCAAAGGGGAAGTTGGGACCAGGAGAGGGAAAGACAGTTATCCAAGGTCAGGCCTGACCAAAGAGGGGCAAACCCAAGGTCCCATCTGCCCCCAACCATGTGTACTCCTTTAGGAACTGGAACCAGCCACAGATAGGTCTCAGAGCCTTTGGTTCACCTCCTCCACCACCACCCCCACACTGTGGTTCTTACTTCCCACTGAGCAGCTGACAGAGAAGTGTGCACCACAGTGGGTGACGGGGAAGTGGGTGACACGAGAGGGCTGAGTAAAGTTGGAGCAGGATCTGGTCTAAACTGGGGCCTCACTGGTTGGCCTCAGTGGCCAGATAGCTGCATTGCTGCCCCGGTTGCAGGCTTTCTAGATCCAGGCACAAGCACAGGGCCAATCACCCCAACAGCCAGATAAATGCAGGGAAGGTGGGGCTCTAGGTGTGTGCCATACAGAAATGACAAGACTCCATGCCAAAAGGAAGCTTAGTGACCTTCTGATCATATGCTATCACTTTGGTGGAGTTACTGAGCTCTCAAAGCTGTTTAATGACAGAGTGAACAAACCACAACTCTTTTTTAATACCCCCTTTCTCATAACCAGAGGGATAAGTCAATGTTTTTGAGATGCACTTTTGCGACCTTCATTTTCATACCTGGAACACAAAAATATGATCCTGCATTCATCTCCCTCCCTCCAAGAACTTGGATGAATTGAAATGAAGAATATAAGAAAGTTCGTGGATGATTGTCACTTTTTACCAAGTCAGTAGATGCTTAAATCTCTTACAATACCTTCTTAGCCATCTGAGCAGAGGCAGCAAAGAGCTATGAGACTATCTGGACCATTTGACCGTATAATACCATTCCTAGCTATATACCCCCCAGGGTATTAATAAAGAGTGGAGATGTCTTATCCAAAGTGGTCAAAGAAGGACCCTTTATAACAGTGGATACTGGAAAGACCCCAAATGCCGACAATGATGGCTAACTAAGGAAACTGGCCTGGACAAAACACTGATACGCAAGGTGCCTTTGAAACATGAGATAGAAGGAGCAAGTGCTGGTATGCAACAGGCCTGGGAGGGAAGTGGGTTCCAGCAAAATACAGGCAGAGCAAGGCCCAAGCCCCACTGTCCACTTCAAGCCCTGCCACTGTCTTCCCAGAGGGGAATGCGGGTGAGGGAACTGCAGGTTCCCCCAGTTCAGGCGTGCACAGGGGCAGCGGAGCCCTCCTGCCCTGTCTCCCTTCAAAGTACTGGGACTCTTGGTGAGGACAGGAACAGAGAATTGGAGGTGGGAAGAGGGCCTGCTAACTTGGATTAACTCATCCAAGTCAGGAGGCCCTCATTTCGCTCATTACAATGGCCACGTGTTACTTGATACTTTTTAAAGAAAAAGATTCCAGGAAAATTTTAAAGAGAAAAGAAAATCCCCATCATTTCCTCCCTCCTGTGAGCCTAACTTCTCAGGAAACTGAAAAAGTAATGTGAGCCATACTGGAAATCCCAGCACCAATCCTGATGGTTTTCCCAGTTCTGGGTCCCAATTCCCCAAGAGGCCCCACTTTTAGTGCCTGAGATCTCTTGAGACCCCCATCCAGATTCACTTGGATTCCACTTTCAGCCCCAGAGGGCTTCCATCTGCTACTGTTTCTATACCTGAAAGCATCCATGGCCAAGACAGAAGATTTAACAGAGGCATCTACCGTGAAGGCCTCTTGGGCCACCACCTCGGTGTCTCAAACGATGAAGTCAGGCTCCTCTCCCTTCAGCATTTCCCTCATCGGGACCTCCAGCCTTCAGTCTCCCTGCCTGCTTTTGCTTTTCTGCCTACTCTGAACCCCTCAGGCAGCCACTCAAATAACAGCCTTTCCCAAGGACTCGTCTCCCCATCACACTTCAGTCACTCACCCACCAATTCCCAGCCTCTGATTTCTTCTCTTCTATCCCCACCTGAGATACCGGCTGGAGAATCAACCATCCTAGCTAGGCTCCCCAAGCCCTCTGTGCTACTGGATACCTGTGGAGCCCTCCCATGCAGTCAAGTCTGTTATTGTCTCCTAGTATCCTTCACCTCTTTTTCCTGGATTTAGATAGTTAGTAGTCAACTCTCCCCCACTCCACACGCCCATTTCTAGCTAGGTACATGGCCACCCAGAATAAAGACTACATTTCCCAACCTCCCTTACAAACATAGGCCCTGATTCTGGCCAATGTGATAAAAGCACAAGTGCCCATTTTGGGAACTCTAAGTACTGCTCTTGAAGAGACACATCCAGTGTAAATATTTAACAACTGATACGGCAGGACACTGGCCAGAGTGCTGGGGGAATGCCATGGAAGGTCCCAACTGAGCCAGAGGATGAGTTGGGGGGATGGGGAGGTGGCATCAGGGAGTCGTCAGCTATTACCAGCTGGTGGAGAAGTATTCCAATAATTTCACTACTGAAAAAGCTCTACTGATTTGTACCATTTAAATGCCAGCCCTGGCTACAAACGCCCTTCTTCATGTTACCTGGATTGCAGACATGATGGATCAATCATGGACCACGAGGTAGAAGCCTTGTTAAGGATGACAAAGCAACAAGATAAGAGCCTCGATCCTTGGTGATTACATCTGCTCCATGTGTCCACCTCCATACTTTATTCATGTAAACACACCCATATCTTTTTTTTTAAGATTTTATTTATTCATTTGACAGAGATCACAAGCAGGCAGAGAGACAGGCAGAGAGAGAGGAAGGGAAGCAAGCTCCCCGCTGAGCAGAGTCCAATGCGGGGCTCGATCCCAGGACCCTGAGATCATGACCAGAGCTGAAGGCAGAGGTTTAACTCACTGAGCCACCCAGGCGCCCCCTTGTTAAATATTTTTAATGTCACCTCTCTAGCACTCTGCTCCGTCAAGTACGCTTCCTTTTTTTTATCTTCAGTCTCCTGCCTCGCCGCTGACTCTTCCTCCTCGGATTACAAGTATACCCAAGGCTCTCCCATCCAAAAGAGGTCTTTCCTGGCTGCTGATTTTCACTTCAGCTCTGTGCTTTTTCTCACCTCCCCTCTGCTACTCTACCGGTCACCCACACTCACAATCTCTCCCTCCAGACTAACTCTAACCCAGCCCAGCCCTCCACCGAGTGGCTTTCTGAAAGCGGAAGGTAAATTCCTACTTGGAAGGTCCCCCATCTCATTCCATTTGCCTCTGACACTGTTGGTCTGTTTCTCCTTCCTGCAACTCCCCACTTGGTGTCAGTGACACCGCCCCACCCCTCAGAGATGCTGAACATCCAGTCCACAGTCCCCATGCCCACTTAATTTTTTTTTTAAGATTTTATTTATTTGAGAGAGAGGAGAGAGAGAGAGTGAGCACAAGCAGGCAGAGTGGCAGAGGGAGAGGGAGAAGTAGACTCCCTGCTGAGCAGGGAGCTGGATGCAGGGCTAGATCCCAGGACCCTGGGGCCATGACCTGAGCAGACGCTTCACTGATGGAGCCATGCAGGTGCCCCCCCCACCATGACCACTTCTTCACCATGGAAGAATCACTACTAGAACGTGACCTCCAAAGCCTTCTCAACTCAGTACTCCAGCTGTCTTTCCCAGCTATTTGCCATCTTTCACAGGTGGGGTCCCCGGGGAAACACGTTCTGACACTGAGATGTGGGGGCAGGAGTTTCAGGATGGCACTTCTGAGGCAGCGAGGGCAGCAAGTCGGGGCGGAGGGGAAATCGAAGTGCCGTGAATTTGCAACAGAGTCCTCAGCTTACACCATGTTGAATTGTCCTCAACTGAAGCAACATAATCCTGTCCCCCGGGGGAAGGGTGACCTTGAGCCAGGAGGTCTGTTTGGCTGAGGGTGATTCCTGAAGAGAGGCTATTGTGAACTGAATAATAACCACCCCCAAATTCATACATTGAAATACTGAAGCCTAACCCCATACGGCTGTATTTGGAACTGGGGCCTCAAAGGAAGTAATTAAGTTTAATAAGGTCGTAAGGGTGGGGCCCCGATCCTATAGGATT